ATTCATTATTATAGATAACATAGAGTAGCAGATTCAATAAATCTACTCTACAAATTAACTTGTATAAAGGCACATCCTCACTAATTATAACTATATCTCGTGGTATATACAATATATGAAGTCTCAATGCACGATGATATGAATGACTATTTATATAATTGAAGGTATGGATAATATTATTATACTGCACCTTCACCAGGTAGGTTGTCTCTCTCATGAATGTAGAGTTTAAAGCCGCAGGCGTCCTCCAGTACAGCTGGCAAAACTTGGTTGACAAAGTGAGCAACTTTCCTTCCTGTTTTCTCATCTGTGTTATCCTTCTGGTAGATCACATATGCATCATATACTTTGCCATCTAAAGAAACACAGAGAACATTTAAACCCTTCTATAAAACACAAGGGCTGGTAATTGTACACAAACCTGTTGCTTGTCTGTATATTATCCTTCAGGGCCTAAATGTCACACATTAACACTTATGTCACCATGTCTGTCCATCAGTAGGACAAATAATTCTGCACAGAGATGCCTTTTTTTTACTTCTCGTACTAATTGATATTTAGTACAGTTTTCTAATGATCTCACACATTGCTCACACATTGTGGTTGATCTAATTCAGCCCTTCACACAGATTCTTAAATTCAGTTCAGTTGTGCAAGGAGCTGAAACCAACAGAAACCACAAAGGCCCAAAGTGTGCCTCATGAAAATATCATTTCAGTAAACTATAAAAATTCCTTAATAAATCAATAATACATTCCTTTTGAGTTCATTATTATTATATTTTCCAAAGTTCTTTACCATCTCTTTTACTCTGCATTATTCTGAAGCTTCTGAAAAACAAGGCCACATCCACAGTGAACCAATTCACCATCCCAGCAGCCAGCAGAAGGAGCAGGACCGTGCATGAAAACGCCATAACCATTGGGCGCAGTGATTCTGAAACATAAAGCAATATGCTCTAGTAACAGCTAGGAGCAATAAAGGTTTAAAACAGGGGTCTTCAATCTTATCTAAAAAAAGAAGGCATGACTGAAGGTTTTCAGGCAAAAAGGAGCAAGATGTAGCTGAGTGAAGACGAAGATCAAGTGATTAAACACATGGAATAAGGAGTGTTCTTGATTCTTTGGAACAAAACCTATAGACAACTTCACCTCACCATCCTCTCTTTTTCCTCTCTCTTGAAGTTAATACATTACAAAATGGTTAGTAAGCTATTTGCCACGGGAAAGCCTTCAGGAGAGAGGAAAAAGAGTGCTCTCCAGATTCTCGGTAACATGACAAGCTGCATTTTATTGTCCTATTAACTTCAAGAGAGAGGAAAAAGAGAGGATGGTGAGGGAAGGATTGTTTATAGCTGCTATATACTGTATCATACCATGTCTATACCATATATAAGTAATAATAGGAACTAACTTCCACAACATTAAATGTATCTATAAATGTATAAACTATGAATATACTATAAATATATTATATATACATATTTATGAAGGGTCAAACAGGAAATAATTATATGGAATCTGAATATATAGTTATAACTCTGAATATATAAATGTAAATCGGAATATATAGTTATAAACCCTGATCATATTCATACATTTTATCAGGCATATTGATAGACAAGCTCTTAATTTTTCCATATTTGACTAAACCAATAAACATGCTTGGTGTAATCAGTTTTTGTTTTACACCATGATTATCATCAGCAGCAGCTTCGCACATAAAAGCAGTATAAGTTATATAGTATATAAACGTTTACAGAAGTTTTTTTTTCTCAGCGTATTACTGATTACTGGCCATAGTTTGGAAGGCAAAGGGTCCTTCACAGTTCTCTCAAAATGGCAGATTTCAATAATTAAGTATTACAAAATTTCCTATGCCACTGCTATTATCTCAATAAAATCATCAGTCATCAGCAGATTGTTTCTTCCCTAGCCCTCTCAGTCATCCTGAATTCTGCAGAAAAGCTATACAACATTAACACTGTTAACGGACTGTGAGGACCCTTTGGCACTACGGTCAGCCTTTTGTAAAGTAGAGGAACATACTCCCTTTGGTTTAGATAAGTGATGTGCACTTAAAATAATTATATAATAGTACAATATTTGCATTGATAAATGTATACAGGATGTATAGGCCTACTGTTTTCATAAAAAAAAATTCAATAAGAACATCTGTCTACTGACATGCCTGATCAAAAAGATATATTACACAAACAGTCAGGCCGGCAGAGTTAGTGCGTCTTCTTGCTTTCTGTTAAATGGGGAGAGATGGCAGGGTCACCGAGAGGACCAGCCCCACATGAGTTAACCACAGTGCTGTACTTATGACATGAACTGTGCTACAATTAATGGGAATTACAATGTAACTTTGAGTGGAGAAAAAAATATGTAAGATGACTGACATTGTCTATAATAATATGAACTTTAACACTAAATCTAGCTAACAAAATCAGACAGTATATATGAATACTAATATAAACTGCAGGTATATAGATGAGGAGATAAAATTTGGGTAAGAAAAGTGATGGAGTAGCAGTGTTATCTTCATAGTTCATAGTCAGCAGCTAAATAATGTGATGTGCGATTATACTCAGTGCTTGGAGCCATTGCTTTGTTTATGGCTCAGGGCCGAGGTGTGCAAATTCTTCTGTATTTGGGGGCATCAACAACCAAAAAGTCTCTGCCATCTGATACACTCTCTGTCATAAATTGGGGCGGAGTGTCAGATTCAGCCAAATTGAGCACGAGCCATGATTTGACTGTTAAAAATTTATTAACATTTATTAATATTTTACTTATAAATTTATCACCATTATACTAACTGCTTGTATTAACAGAAAACAGCAATATGTATAAGTACATATCAAAAAATGTTTTAGTCATGTATTTCTCCTCTCAGCATGTAGTGTGGTTTTGAGCATGACTATCCCTGGTTTCATGTCTATTTTAAGTTCCTTTCATGTTTTGTTTTCAACATTCATGTACTTCCTTCTTTACATTGTCATGTGAGCTTTGGTTTGATTTTGAGTCTTGCCTCTGCATTGGTGTAGGTCGCGAATCTGTCCAGGTGCTCTGTGTTTAGTTTGTAATGAGTTTACTTATTTAAACCCTGAGGGTTCATTGTTTCATTGTTTCAGTGCTTTCATGTCTTTCAGTGCTTTCAAGTCTTGTAGTGCTTTCATGTTCTTAAGCTCATGTTTCTTTGTTACTCTGTTGTCTCATTGTTCTGGTTCTTCCTGGTTTTGACCCTCACCTGTTTTCTCATGTATAAATATGGAGTATCCTACAAGTCCTGCCTCATCCTACTGCACATTACAATTTTGGGGTGGCATATCCTTTAATTCTAGTGTGAACTTACCTCTGGTCTTGAGAGTGATGCATACAAAGTCCCATTCATATGGGCTTATGGCTATGCAACAATATTCATATTGGAGGTCTTTCTCAGAAAGCTGACTAATCGTCAAACTTGACCGTATTCTCCCGTTTTCCATCCTGAAAAAAACCCAATGTGAAATACATTCTCAGTACAAATACATTTTCTTTCATCTAAATTTATAAAGATTTTGCATGGGCAAATATACTACTGTCCTGCAACAGTTGCTTGCATTTGCTTTGGTCTATGAAATCTACATGGCTTTCAAGTACTAAAATCATACCAGAATGCCAAAAACATTTTGCTTTATTTAAGTGGCTATTTGCTGAAGCAGAGGGGAGATCTGTCACCTCCCAACCATCCAAAATGTGGATAAGCTGACTTTCAACTTTTTCTGCTAATGCTCTGCTTTTTACTATCTCAGGTTTCCACATGCACATAACAAGCGGGTAGTTGCAAAGACAGCTACAAATGTTGACCCCACCCTAACCTTGACTCTTTTAAATATGTTGTTTATTCATACTTAAAATTTCATGTAGTCTTTTTTCTGTATTAATAAACTAATTTAAAAATGTATTACATCCTTCTTTTATTAATAAAACATCACAACATTTTATTAATAAATAATCACTGGCAAATTGCTGTGGAATAAGAGAAATAAAACACTATACCTGTTATAGGAAACATTAAAGTGTTTTATAGTGTGTAAGCTGTGATGGATATTTTAGTGCAGATGTAATGGTTTAGTTTAGATATGTAGTGGTTCATGCTTGATATCTACAGTAGATATATAACACTGACATATGGATATTAGATTGACATCATGTACATCCCTTGTGTCTGTTCTGAGTGTGTGTACCTATTTTGTAGTGGAAATCAGATCATGTAGATGGTGTGTTGTGCTTTTTCATCAGTACGCTGCTTCAATAGCTCAGCCCAGGACCTTCCAGCATTTCAGTTCAAACTCTATAACTTCCACCACACCATTACATACTGTATTTGTCTACTTGTTCCTTTGGATATAGGTGTACTTTAACAAAATTATAAAATGTGGAGTCAATATTACTTTTCTATCTGGTCAATAAAACAGAAAGCTACTTCTTTTTTTAAGTAGCAATGCTCCTCCTTACTATGGGAAAAGTAAATAAACTAATAACTTCACTATGTATAGTGAAACTACTGCCCAGTTCTGCCCAGGTGAAAAACACCTGAGTAATTGTACTTCGTTAATGTAATAAGTGTTACTGAAATTGATTATGTTATAAATTGATCAAATGGGTTCTATTTAGCATTCAATCAGGTTTACTGTCAATGTAAAAAACAACAACAACAACTTACTGAATCAAGTATTGTGCCAATCTATTTTGACCTTCTCATGCTACACAATGTTACAGAATGTTATAGCTATTTGTGTGAATCTGAAGATGGACTGCAGTGTGGAACTTCAAGATGTGTATCCCTGACCCTACCTCAATTATTAAGACTCATATAAAATGAGGCATCTTCCTAGCTTCTCTAGAAGGCATGAGCTCCAACTAATTTGAAAAACCATGATATTTCACTAATTTGCTAACATTAGCTTATTTCCTTTGCTATTGCCAAATTACACTAGCATCAATTCCGGGTCCCTGGAGGACTAGTGGTTAAACCGCGGCGCTCTCACTGCTGCAGCCCGGGTTTGATTCCTGGCCAGGGAACCGACCCCAGCCACTGGGGTTGTACGCAACAGTGCGCTCTCAGTGCTGGTCCAAAGCCTGGATAACATTGGGGAGGGTTGCATCAGGAAGGGCATCCGGCGTAAAAACTGTGCCAAATCAAATACACGGACCAATGAGCCGCTGTGGCGACCCCTAACGGGAGCAGCCGAAAGAGGAACAACACTAGCATCGATTCCAGTAGCTAACATGAATTGACTAAGCAGTTATTGATTATTTACATAATCTTTTACTTCTGACTAATTCATTAGCAAACTACATAGCATTAGTGATGCATATGACCAAATGTGCAAAAAAGTACTGTTTTCAGGCAAATTTGGTATTAATGAAAATCCTGTAAATTCAGAAAAACTTTCATATCCTACTATTGCTCCTGAGTGTGTGAATTTCTGCATAAGAAGACTAACTAATGTAAACCTCAGCTTCAAATTATATAACATTGCATGGATATGTTTATATGTGGAATATACTGTTGAGTATTAGTTTAAATCGCTTATTTTTATTACATGTACAGCATTTAGCTGAAGCCCTTATCCAGAGTGACATACAGAAGTACTTTGGTGTCTCTATTAAAAACACACCCTCACTGGGACAGAAACTGGTGCATGAGTGAACAGTCAGTACCCAAATTTTCCTCCAGCAGATATTTGTTTATTGAATGATGTAGGGCTACGGAGAGTGGAAAAGAAAAGCATTGTCTCCAATTTCAACGTGGTGGAATGTCTGTTTTTTGGAAGAGAGAAAAAAAAAAGGATGCCTTGGTGCAAATAATGCCAAGGTCGGGTTTTAGGCCCTTTGTGCTAGTAGATTTCCACTTCTCTCCCTCTTCAGGGACTAAGAATACAGTTGAGAAAATTTTATAATAATTAAGTAATTTTACATTATTGGTATTAATTAAAAATATGAAAAAAAATTATTTAAGAGTTAAGTACAATTTCTTAGTATTTTTCCACTCCTGCTCAACACTGTTTAACGAAAGGGCTAAAAATCTCAATGGAACAAAAACAAACCTTTGTCCTGTTATTAAAATCATATATGTCCTATATATGTGTATATGTATATATATATATATATATATATATATATATCTCCAATCATTGATCCTATGTTGTTTTACCTACTGTACGATTCCAGTCTGCTGTTGTTTCTCATCCAGTAAACACTATTCCCACCATCCCTTATATTGAGACCAAAGAACACCAGGCAGTTCAGCTTCACCTCCATCCCTGCAAGAGTTTGAGTTTGTAAGCTTATCTAATCAGTCTATATTGGGTTTAGAGGAGAAGCAATTGATGTTGAGTCTTACCCATGTCCACAAAATTCACAGAGTTGTTGATGGGACATTGAAAGGTTGGAGGAAAAGGCACTTCAGGTTCTGCAAACAGGTTCAAACTCTTTTAAATGAAACATTAAAAAGCCCAACTCTAATGAGTTGATATATTGAGAAATTTAACAAGCACAATTGTGGCCACGGTCTCATAGCAGTCTACCTTTTCTTTGAAGCTGGTAGGATCCACTGGAGTTGTAAAGTTGACCGTGATGTTCCCATGTGCATATACAGGTGTAGATTCCTTGAGCGTCTTTTGCAGGGAGGTAAACTTGAAGTATGTCTTCAGACTCGTTAGGGATCAGACGGAAATCCTTCAAAATACAACTGATATTTCAGAGCCATATTTCCCCACTCATAGATCATTTGTAACTCACATGAACACTGAGGTTGCCTGTGACATCCTTTAAAGATGATTTTACATGGGAAGAAATAGTGTCTAGCTATCTGTTCTAACTTTCTAAAGCAGTTCTACTTACAACTTTTTCTCAAAAGGAAATCATCAGTTTATAGGATTATACATGGAACGTTTAATGGCTCCATGAGATGCACAAACTGAAGGAATAGTAAGGATGCTCTTTTCCAAAAGAGTTTATCTGCATGTTAAAACATTTTAAGAACATAAAGATTGCTTTTGGAGAGAACAAGTCAATTGCTACTATAGTTTATGGATTGTTGTGGCTTAAGATGCAAGTGGCCCTATGAGACACATCAGTAACTACAGAAAATTTAGAAATCTTTGAGGTAAGTGATAAAAAGATAAAAAGAGTCTCTTTCTGAATCTACCTTGTACCAGGTGATGGTCTCTCCTTTGTTTTGCCACACTGGACAGTCAAGCTTCAGAATGCTTATTTGCTCTGAGAAGTTTTTGTACAGTTGATCTTTGTGAAACGTCTCATAGACCACAATTTCAGTTTCAAACTCATCACACTCAGACACATTATACCACCTGTGAAACACATACCATGGACATAAAATATAACGCCCTTGAGACCAGTGGCAGCATAATATGAAAAGTAAAGTATACAGTCTGATAACCCAATATCACAGTTTTCAGTTTCATAGGATTATTATTGGCAGGGGTGTCCAGTCCTCATAAAAGGCTGGTGTGTGCAGGTTTTCGTTTCAATTCCTCCTGTTATTATTCTATTTTTGAGGAAAAGATTGGACACCTGATTACTGGTATTCATTCTAAAGCATATTGTTCAGTACTACAGTGAAGCTACTAGTAAAAGGTGTGTAGGTTTTGGAGTGAAGAATGTAACTCTAGACCAGTGGACTAGAGTGGACTGGTCCTTGGAATTAAAATCTCTTTAGTAAAATTTCTGGACAATTTTTTTTTTCCATTTTAATAGACAAGCTTGATATTGCTTCTGTTGCCAGATAGAAATCGGCAACCTATAAGACCTACATATTAATCTTTCTAATTAAAATGTGATCTTCAATGGGATCTTCCAAGATTTATTTTCTAATGAACTTCTGACTTGACTTTTTATTTAATTTTTTTTCATCAACCTGTTGGTCTATTTTCACTTTGGTTAATGGTTACCTCAATTACCCACAATGCCATTCAACAACCTGCTGATAGTGCCACCAGTTGGATTTAGCTTGAAATTATCTCTAAATAAAGACAGTGATGCAGCGGCACTTTAGTCCTTTAGTCTGTACAGATTAGCTTCCAAAGCTTCAACTTTCATGCTAATGCAGCTGTCAATGTCATCGCACTCATCATCTCATAGATCACTCACTAGTGTATCATATAGCTGCATTGCATTCTGGGACTTTGAGTCCTTTGCTGTCTCCACTACTTGTATGTTGGATTTCTCATTAACATTACATGAACGTCAGTGCTAAATGGTGAGTGAGATAAGAAGCTCTCGTTCTTTTGTTTTTAGGAGCTAACAGCAAAATTTTTTTCTCCTATTAAACACCACTGTAACTACACTAGCAATGTCACCCTGAGACATCAGTGTGGCAGACAACCGCTAACCTCTCACTGAAATAAGAAAAATACAATGTCAACCAACAAATTAGCACCAAATTCATAAAACACACCACAAATATAAACATAACAATATAAACATGTTTAACATGTTTCAACGTAGACTGTCCCTTAAATATCTCTTTTTTTACTGAATAATATTAGACTGATACAGTATTTTCCTGTTTTGCTGTATATTCTGCACCAGTTTTCAAACTATAAACTGGATTTTCTACAGATTTTTGCCTGCTTTGTGTGCTTAAAAAAGTAATGTGGCCTGCTTTAAAAATCTCACCTCATATTTTAAATAACACCCTACACCTGGAAATCAGGTTTTTGTTGTGTTATTTCCCAGTACAGCATGATGTAACTATTTATAAATATTAATTAATGAGACCCTCAAATAGCCTTAGACATATGAATCGATATGTTATGTGTGTGTAATATGTAAGAGTGTGTATAATAACCATTGTGTGATGTAAAGGCCTGTGTCATTCAGACTTAAAGGCAGGAAGTATAAGGCAGCACCATGGTAGTGGACCCGCTCATTTTCCTCCACTGTGATTGGCTGGATTCCATCACTTCCATTTTTGAACCAAAATATCAGCGAATTGTTCATCACGCTCTCGCAGTCTGAATTGGGGCAGAGATGATGCAGTGCCTCTCTCTGAATCACATGGATAGTGGTTACATCCTGAGTGCTTTTACACTGGGCTGAAAAAACACAGGTTTATTTATCAGTTTACCACTATATCAACTATATTATTAATTTAATAATTTATCCCCAGCATGTTGCTGACTGACATCAACAAAATCATTTTTAAAATATATATTTTTATAATGTATTTTAATGTTTATTGTTCAGCTAATTTTGACCCAAGATCTGAATAAACATTACCCATCTTGTTTTGTAGTTACTCCAGTCTATATGTATGGATTATGTAGTAGTAGTGCATCTACAGCATAAATATTTACTAGTGTCTGGTGTCTTAATCCCTGGTTTCCATGTTCTCTTGATTCTCTGTTGTGCTGTTCTGTAAATGTCTTTAATTCTCTGTTTTGGATTATCATTACAGATTTGTTTCCGAGTGCTCTGTTTGCCTATATATGGATAAAACATGTCAGGGATCTTATTTTGCTGGAATTATTTTGCAGTTACTGTCCATTTCCACCTTACCTGAGTAATTCATCGATGCAGAGGCCATGACAAGTTTAGCCAGGAAGCAAATAATCACCCTTAGCTCTGTCATCTGCAAAAATGTACACATGCACTCAGTGAGATCTTGTCACTTCCTCCCTCATTTCCTCACCAGTGCAACAGTATTGCCCTGTATTAGCTCTGAGTTACATACAGTAAATACTGTACGCACAGTATTGCAGCACTGCTGGGCCAGACCCATTCAGTCTCAGTTGCTGCAGTGCTGAAAACTAACTTGCAGGTTTTCCCAATTCTTTTTTATTGAATTTAAACAGGAATGCACACTGAGTGGGACTCCAGTCTATCACAGGACATCACATGTACACCTAAGAGCAATTCAGAGTAGCCAGTCCACCTAATGCCATGTTTTTGGGTGGTGGGAGAAAACCAAAGAACCCAGAGGAGACACGGGGAGAACTTGCGAAACTCCACACACACAGTAGCCTGAGTTTATATGATCTAATCTAGAGCTGTGA